CAACTCGCCGTACCTGCACCACCAGGACAGCTTGGACAATGAGCAGCCGTCACCCCTCATCAACGCACAGAACGACCCCCAGCTGTTCCAGGACCCTGTACCAGGATTCGACCGATTCAATCTGAACAGCAGCAATGCGCACATGAGCGCGGGTAACAGCCCTCACATCTCGCCTCGTCTGCTTCCAACGAATCAACAAGTCCTTCCGCAATTCCAGCCCGAAACCTTTGGTCTCACACAGAACATGAACCCGTATGCGCCTCCAGACATGAATAGCTACCCAGGTCAAGCTGAGCCGTTCCCCTCACTGAACCAGCCTGTGCCTGAGTTCGGTCAGGCCGACGCCATGTCGCCGCCGGAAATCAACATTGACTTCGCACCGCCTTCACGGCAGGCAAGCTTTGAACCACCCAAGCCCGAGCATCAGATAGATGCGCTGAGCCCGCCAGACAGATGTAAGCAGTCCAAGGAATTCTTCCAACCATTTCTAACAGCGAAACAGCACGCAGCCGAAACAGAACTCGCGCCAGATCCGATCCTTTCAGCAGTGCGAGCTCGCGCGCATCAACACCAGGCTCGGACGTGAACCGCTCACTTTCCCCCCACGCTGCCAAGTCTCGTTCCCCTTCGCCCTCGAATAAATCCTCGCGCCGTTCTTCTACATCAAGCGTACCCAATCGCGACTACATCTTGGATCTTGCAGATCCGTCGCGACCTGCGCCCGCGGATGGCTCCAACCCAAAGCGCACACAGAAGCATCCGGCAACCTTCCAGTGCACGCTGTGTCCGAAGCGCTTCACTCGAGCCTACAACCTCCGATCGCATTTGCGCACACATACGGACGAGCGTCCGTTCGTCTGCAGTGTCTGTGGAAAAGCCTTTGCGCGCCAGCACGATCGCAAGCGACATGAAGGTCTTCATTCGGGCGAGAAGAAGTTTGTCTGCCGTGGCAACCTCAAGAATGGCAACAACTGGGGCTGCGGTCGACGATTCGCCCGTGCAGATGCTCTTGGACGTCACTTTCGATCCGAGGCAGGCCGCGTGTGTATCCGTCCGCTACTCGAAGAGGAGGCGCGCGAGAAGGGTGAATGGGATGGCCAGAACCAGCAGCTGAACAATGGCAATGGTATGTTCGCACCAATGCCAGCTCAAAACTTTGGTGGTATGATGCCCGGGCAAACAGGCTTCGAGTCGTTCCCTCAGGCTGGTGGCATGCAAGCCCCACAGCCATTCCTGCCCGCTGCCATTCTCGCTCAGTACCCAGCACTCGCGGGCATACAGTGGGATCAGCTCCCAGCCGGGCCGCCTGACGACGATGGCGATATTAGCGGTCGCAGCAGTTTCGATGCTTCTAGTGGAGGCGAGTACTTTGAAGAAGAGAGCGACTACCAACAGGGCGGTCAACAGCCCATGTACGCTGGTGGAAACAACAGCGGGTGGGTTAGTGACTCGTATGACGGGCGATAGACTTTCTTCTTCACGCTCTGCTTTCTCTGGCAGCCCTCATCTCTTTACGATTCTGCCACGCATTCACGACTTGATTCTACGAACCATGCACGCCTCTGCCTTCTGTCACTTCATGTTTCTTGTTTGGATACCACTTTCATTGCTTCGTATGCGCCCAAGGGTCATTGATACCCCCGGATTGGAGACTATCAGGGAGTTTTGTTTTGGAGATTATGGGTCTCGACGCCTGCTTGTAGCCGTCTTTGCTCGGTGGCGTTGTGTTGCTTGATTTAGACCAGAGTATATACCACAGGAAATGTAGCTTCAAGCCTTCACTTTGATCCTTCGTCGTTTGAGATGTGATGTGACTGGTGCTTTGGCTACGCTGGAGAATTATCCTGATGTGTGTAAGTTTAATCATACAGCATGGGACGCCAGACAAAGATCTGATGTGACCGCTATTCTAGACGCGCATGGTTTGCAACGTTTTTTCGCTTGTGTTCCTGTACCGCGTGTTTGTGAAAGCAAGCACGAGAGGGTGTCTAGTCTAGTTACTGGATGCGCGTTTCGTAGGCTTGTGCTTTGCAGAGGCGCATATAGATGGGCAAATTGTAGGATCTCCCGTCGTGACATTGGTTTATGCTATACTTTCCTCAATACACGCAGGGTATATGCGAAGATGCGCGTTGTAAGCTGTTCCATGTGTTGCATGCGTCCTCGTCCCCACGTCTGGAGGCAGCAAACATGCATAGCAAAAGAAAGCGTTTTCTGGAAAAGGTGAATTCCAATCTTATAGTTTACAAATAGGGGGTAAAAAAAAGATGCAGAGAATCACGCAGAGAGTGCGGAGCTTCTATGAGCTTTACTGGAGCAAAAAAGGAGAGTGGGCCTGACCGGGATTCGACTTTACAAACGTTAGATTCTAAACTTCACATACTCAAGACTGTGACAACTTACACCCGGGGCCTGTCACATAACAGATACTCTGTATCCAGGATAATTTTCCCGAAGCGACAATCATACCACTAGACCATCAGGCCGACTTTTGTCTTGTTGATGACAAATTTCGAAAGTAGGTAGTCCTAGTACTTGGCTAAACAGCCTCTAAAGGACATGACGAAGACACCTGGAAGGTCGTTGAGTAAGTGGATTCGCGTGGGAATGTTGGTTTGAGGCGGCTGGTGCAGATTTGGTACGTGGACATGGTGCGCAGTGGGGCAGTGGTATATCTTAGTCAGGGTGGGACGCTTCTAATCATGGAATTCACAGCCTCACTTTACTCCTTTGGGAAAACTTTGCGACAGAAATCTCGAACTTCTGGTCGACCTTGACCGTCTGTGCTGCAAGCATTGATCGCGAGGATAGTAGAATCAAGCCGCAGACCCAGCACGACATCGAGATGCAGACTGCCCAGCACAACACCACCACAACCAGATTGCATCGTATATACATGCAAGGTCGGCATGCAGGCATCACAAGACCCCGATCTTGACGTCTTGGTAAAATAGAATAGGCTGGGCGCATCTCCTTATCGCACGCCTCATTTGCCCAGTAAAGTGTCACCGAAGCTTATGCGCACTGGGTGGAGAGCCGATCATACAGGCACAAGTATGTCCTGTGCATGGTGACGGGAGGGAGCCGACATCGCTAAACCTATGGCGATCCCCCCTGCAACTGTGCGCTCAACAACTGCTACACCGACATTTTGGCGCCGTTGCGTTCAAGGTGGACGCCATCACGAACGAACATGCTGTGCGTGGACGTTCAACGACTATCATATTTTCACTTCAATCGAGTGCCGTAGTCGTAATCAAGACATCAGACGGTTTATTTGAGCACGCTGCGACCATGATCAAAAGTGCGGGGGAGACGTGCTGGGCATGCTAGAGTGGGTCCCTTCCATTGGTTCGGGCCAGCCCTTGTGCCACATGCAGTATAGTACGTGGCCCAAGCTCCCTCCCAGCAAGCTCCCATCCACTGAGCACCACGGAGTCCAACGCTGCATCCCCGATGTGCCCACTCGTTATGAAGTGAACAATCCACGAGGGTGTCCTGAGTCGTTGTACAGCACAGCTCACTGACCGCTCTCTGTAGAGATTCCAGAACGCAGGCCAAGGAATCCGAAGGTGGTCGCCGCTGCTGTGTTGTGAGGCTCGAGGGCTTAGAAAAGGGAGAGCTTCCCCTCACTGTGTCGCGAGCTCAGCTGTCATTCCTGTCCTCTCAACACCTGTTCCTGTCTATCGGTTCGCCTGATAGCGCTTCCCATTGCCCGCCGCCTTCCGAAGCTTACTGACGCCCGCATCTTTGCGTCACTGAAACCTTATCGTCTTATAATCTACCACTAATTGCTCGTCTTGCTTCTTTCGCATACTACTACTTCTTCCCCTTCGCGCGCACTTGCGTTTCGTTCACATCAACTTCCCCATACATCAACACTACACACATCTTCGCAATGGCCGCCTCAAAACCTAGCGTTCGCATCATCAGCGCCCTCGCCGGCCCCCGCCTTCTGGGCCCTCGTCTCACAGTCCGCCAGCTGTCAATGACAGGTTCGACTGCCTCTTCATCGCTCCTCACAACCGATAAGCCCTATGCCTCAAATCGTTCAGCGGGACCCATCCGCCTTCATGGCGAGCAAACCATCCCAGTCCCCGAGGCTACCGAGACCGGCAACAAAGTCCGCCGCTTTAACACATCGAGGAGTTTAAAGTCCGTCGGCGATTCCAGTACCCTGGACTTTATGCACTTCCCGGAGTTCGACCTGGAGAGCCGAAGCGCGCCCATGGGCATCAGAGTCCCTATCATCCCATGGGCCAACGTTGCCAGCCGGGGTGCTGAGAGCGAGGATTCCGTAAGTCTTGTCCCACTCTCTGTCTTTTGTTTATCGCGCAAGATTGCTAACGATATGCTTCCTAGATCCCCATGCAGCCCACAATCTACACTGTCTCCGCTGACGGTACCCACATCCACTCCCCTTCCGCAATGACCGAAGTGTCCGACACAAACCAGTCTGGCTACCAGGGCATCGCTGAGGCTGTCGCCAACAAATTTACCTCAACCCGTGAGGAGGGTGAGGGTATGGTAAAGCAGATCTGGAATGACCTCATGGAGGATCTTGCCGATCTTGCGAGTGGCTCAAAGCGCGGCTCTAACAAGGCTTAAGTGGGGTGTACATATGCTGTCATGATTGCCGTCGGCGAACGGCGGTTCTGATGGTTACGTGGGCTTCGCACTGTATCGGACTTCCGATGGCTATCGGGTGGGTCTGGGGATGTTGAGTCGAAGCATGTTTTTGCTTTCTTGGTACTGTGGAATGGAAGGGTCTAGCGCGAAGTGCTCGGGCTTATGAGATCACGAAATACATTTTAATCGCTCTTTGACCAGTGTCTTTGTTTCTTCGTTGCAATGCGCTGGGTTGACTACGCTGCCTGACCCCCAACCTTTGATCAAGGTGTGCGCGAGCACGGTGCTGATTGATAAGGAAATGTGGAATGACAGCCATCGAGATTGTAAGCGTTGGGTTCTGCCATGGCAATGGAATATACCAAGTCCTTTCATCGAAGACCTCCAAGTTCTTCCATCAATCCACAAAGCGCCCTTACAAGAGGCGGCCCAGTTTCGCGATCCACATCGGGATGTGTGGATTCAAGAAGCATAACGCCCACCTTCATAACCTGCGAAGGATACTTGAGGTTGCAGATTTCGGGCCGAGCAATCGCTCCAGACACCGATGCCACTGGTTGGTGCGTAGAGATGATGCGAAGGCACGGTATACCGCTGTTCGTAGCAATGAAGGCATTAACGCCAGCCTGGTTATCAGAGGCGGCATCATCGAGGTAGATAACTTTGCCCGGAAGCGAACTTGGCCGTGTGCGCATCGGCGTCGTAGTACCGGTCTTCTTCGCTAGGTCGCGCGTCATCATGCTGTATGTCCAGAGGACCATAATGGCATGGTACAACATGAAGGAATCTGGGCCGCGGATCTGGTATGGCGGGATTTGCCGCGCAGCTCGGACTACCTGTCCAGCATGCCAGATTGCGACTCTGGCTTCTTTGGTTTGGCTCCAGGGTGAGAGGTGAGTGTACGCGCTGTTGGCAGCGCTCTCACCGCATTTGCCGGCGAAGCGCGTGATTAGATCGAGGTTGACGTGGAGGTACATCTGCAAGAATTGGTGGAACAGACAGGTCACGGCTGGATGTTTGCTAGGTACAAGATCTTCGCGTTGAAGGTATTGGTATCTGCGGGGGAGTGTCAGCTTCATCGAGTATGAGAGAAGATACACCAACAGTTTTTCCTGACGAGATCGAGCCCAGAGCTGTGAAGCGGCGTCGCTGCTCTCGTTCATCAGCGCAGATTGCTGTGTATACTCCCAGATTTGGGCAGCAATGCCATGCAGATAAGATGAGTGAGCGACTTGCATGTCGATGGTGGCAGGAAGACAGTGTATGGCAGCTTCGTCTTTCAGAAGTGTTTGCAGTGAGGGAGCGCTGGCGACGACGTCCATATCAAGATAGCGCATTCGCCATGTCTCTGCTGAAGGTGCCAACCACAGGGTCTTCGAGGCAGGCAACATGAGCGTAAGTTCAGCGTAGCTGATAAGTGGCGGGCGATGTTTGGCCATAGTCATGTGGATATCGTGCTCGAACAAGTGATACACCAACCTGTCTGTATTAGATGCTGGGTAAACAGAGTCTACTGTGTCTGTCATACCTCTTGTAAGATTCTTGCTCCACCCACTGCTTCCACTTTGCATGTAGTTCCTCGTCGCCATCCTCTGCAGACGGTGTAACTGCAGGATACCGGATGTAATCGAATCTACCGGCGCGCCGTAGTGCCTACAGAGTCAACGTGTGTCACACTATCATATCAGAGCTTCTTACCGTGACAAGAGATTGCAAGCTACTCTCCGCGATTTCCATCTTCCTCCTGTACCCACAGAATGCCCCGATATCAAGCCAAAGCATCGAAGCTTGGAGATATTCAAGGTCGCGTATCACACTGTTATCATTCTCGGACTGGAGACGTATTAGACATCCTTCGACTTGGTGTCAAGCCTGGTATTTGCAAAAGACTTACCAGCCTGTTCAACGCGACTCGGACTATCTCCTGTAGCGCCAAGCCTGTTCTGCTCACCGAGAGGACGCCAAAACATACGCACCCAGCTGCCACCAAGGCAGTGAGATATTCTGGCCGGGCAGTCTCGCTTTCGAAGGTATACGGATGGATCCATGCATCAGTCTCAGTTCGTTTTGCAATCCCAACCTTGATCAGCTTGTCGACGCACTCTGCCGAAGGGAAAGAAGGAATGGTGATATGGCTCTGTGCAGTCTTCGACACCAATTGGAAGATGCGGTCACGGGCTGCCGGCGAAAGCTTATCTGGGATCACAACGTTGGAAGAATATGGCATGTGTGGTGACGAGGCAAGATCTACGTTGCGCTCGTCCAGAGCGATGTTTTCGTGCTCGCTGAAAGCGTGCTGGTTACGCTCGGGGATCCAGAACCTAAAGCAGGTCAGCGCTGATTAGTCTATCGGTCAGTGTGGCTTACCAGGCAGACTGTTTGAAGACCGCATGGCGCCTCTTCGCGGAGTTGCTATCAATCTTCTCGTGAGAAACATCTGTATTAAAAGGCGGCGTTGCAGAAGGCAAGGCAGTAGCCTGCGATGTCTGCGCTTCTAGCATCTGGCTGACAGTTGGAGTGAAGTCATTGCCAAATATGTCAACCTGACCAAGCCAGTCAGTCTCTGGCATCCATGCCGTAAGATCTGGAGGCGGTTGCATGTAGTCACTACCCAAAAAGTCGGGTGCGGGAACCATGATTTGTTCGAAAAAGGCCGGGATGGTATGCTGGGTATAACCAGTGGTATTGTACAGATCAAGTAGAGCTTGCGCTTCAGTATTGGTCTCGTCGAGGTAGACATCGTTCAGTTGTATGTCATCGTCAAATTGGTATGGGTTGTTCTGCTCTTCAACAGATGCTGCAAACACTTGCGCTGACTGTCCTCCTACACCTGCTTGAGCGAGCGGTGACGGATCGGGCGACTTTGTCAGGCATGGTAGGCTTTTCTTTTGGCACCGTTTGCATGGCCTTCCATTGTCGCATTTGACTTTTGATACGACGCAGGAGTTACAGGCCTTCGTGGCACGTTCTGCTACGCGATATGGGCCTACGAGCCCATCTTTAGCATTCTTTGTGTGAGTTGCTTGATGCCTGAGTAGCAAATCCCTTCGGTTGAACGCTGCAGGGCACTCCTCACAATGAAACGACCTCTCGTTGCGGTCTGTGCATCGTTAGGATTTCGCTGAGTGATGGCCAACGGTGAGCGAAACTTACGTGAGTCTAGATGTCGGTTCAAGTGGTCGGCACGTTCGTATGATCGGTGGCAGACTTGACACTGAAGCCCACCAATTGACGCATCGGAAGTCCGCTTACGTTTCGAGGGTCGCGCATTCGTTGGGGTCACCGCTATCTCGACTGACATAATTCAAGAACTGAGGAACGGAAATGTGGGATACGAGCAGGCAGTTCAAAGCGCATCAAGGCTTCCGGCCATCGGAAAGTGGGCGCCCCTACCCTTGTTCAGATGCGGGGTGTGTCTGAACCGTCACATCAATCGAGCCGACGGCATATCAATTGCCGAACCTTCAACATCCTCGGGAGTAGTCACGTTTCACATTGCAAGCCTCACTCATCGAGCCATGTCGCCCATGTCTACAATTGCAGCAGAAACATCGATTCAGAGGGTGCGGCTCAGGTGTCGCCAATACCCGTGTCGACCGAAGTGTGGGACCTGGTCTAAGCCACTGCTGTTGTTTTGAGACCAACCGTTATTGCTGACATAGAACGCCTTTGCTCCCAATCATGCACTCCCCGATAGGTGCAGTTGTAATCCATGAATTCATCAGGGTGCCTGTTCCGGTTAGATCATGTCAAAAAACCTGCGCGACTTGCACTCACATTTTGATCACATTGCTGCCTCGTTCCGTTGCAGGCTTCGCGGCTTCCCGGCTGAATCGCTGTATCAAGCTTGCACGTTCGTGTCTGTTTTTGAAGACGTCTTCTAGGATCGAAGACACTTCATCCTTGGATGGCCTGTCAATGATGTGACTGAAGAGCGTCCCTAAAGCTTCGGCGTCCTCAATGGTTTGGCTTGCACCTTGGCCTTGGGTCGGTAGCATAGCGTGCGCGGCATCCCCAATGATAATCGCGCGTCCAGAGTGCCATTTACCTAGCGGATCCAAATCGCGCAGCTGCCAGAGACCTATGCTTTCGGCATTCCGGAGTGCATCTTTGGTCCAGCTGGGGAAATCCTTGAATGTTTCCAACATCTTTTCAGGGTGTCCTCTCGTCACCCACGACTGCGCTCTGTCGGAATTCTCGTTCATCTGCTCGTCCGGTACCAGTCCAACGATACTGTAAAGTGATCCGCCGCGTGCAGGACCCATGATGAGTCGACAGGAGTGTGCCATGATCATAGAAGTATAGGGCTCCTCTGGGTTGATGTTTGCGTAGAATTGTGGCGCGCGCTCATTCAGAATCGCAGTTGGCAGCATAAGCCGGTATGCCGAGGAACCTGTGGGTTTGGGACGGGCCTCTTGACCGAGTATAGAAGTACGTAGAGCACTGTGAATGCCGTCCGCGCCAATGACAAGGTCTGCTTCCAAATGCTCACCATTCTCAAGTATGACCTTGCCTTCTTCACAGTCACACCGAGATACTCGTGCCGAAGTACGCAGTATTGCAGGCTGGCCATCCCGTTCGATGGATGTAGCTGCCTTCTTGAGATAGGCGTGGAGATCTTCGCGGTGCCACATGATGCGGTCTGCGCCATACTGCGTCTTGCTCCGTAGAGGTATTTCATTCACCATCTTGCCGTCAGCATTGTAGATCCTGAATCCGTGGTCGACCGTGCCGTTCGAGCCGTTGAGCAGATCTGTCAACCCCAACGACTGTTCTAGAATCCTTGTGGCGTTGGGTTGTAGTGAGATCGTAGCGCCGATCTCTGCGCTGAGACGAGATTGTTCGAGGATCGTAATCTGTCGGTTGTTCTTCCGAAGGGCTATAGCTGCTGCCAGTCCTGCGATGCCACCGCCCACAATGATGATCCGAAATGGTGTTGACGATGACATTGTGAGTGCAGTCGTGGGTGTGTAGGAAGAGAAGTTGATGGAGTATCACGATGCCGTGCCGGAGGTTTATCAAACATGCTGGTGGTATTCCGGGAAAGCGGTTACCTGATAATCGATAACCTCTTGCCGTCCTAGCACGGGAAACCTGCTGGAATTGATCCCTACCCTCCACTTTACGAGATCTTCTCTCAACATCCCCGCAATGTGTATTCAGGCTCGTGCATTTCGCACGCGCCGTCATCGTAATCGGGGTTCGGAGAGGTGGGCCCACACACGTTCGGCCCGTGTGGGCAATGCCAAAGGCTGCACATCGCACAGGCGCTCAGATATTGTGTGAGAAGAATGTTGAATATGAACTCCAAGCCAGTCTTCCCAACACAGCAATCAAGTTTCATCCAATTCGGCAAACAGCCCCAAGACCAATGTACGCATCGACATGATCTCCACCGCAACGAAGACAGCGTCGGTTACGCTGAAGGCCGTCGAAGATCAGCGCATGAGAGTGGACGGCACGGATACGACGTTCGGAGACTGGAGGGACGACCTGGCTAGAGATGGCTATGCAGTCATCAAGGGTGCAATTCCGAAGGAGAGGGCCGACAAGTACGCAGACAAGATGTATAGCTGGTTGGAAGGATTGTAAGTACAGACACCGACATGATATCGCAAAGCACTTACATTCTTCAGCAACCTCGGCTACGACCGCAATGACTTGTCCACGGTCCACAAAGACAAGCTCCCGTTGATAACTGAAAAGGGCATGTGCCTTCAATATGCTGTTACCCACGAAGACTTTGCTTGGGCGATCCGAGGAGAGCCTGGCGTTGTTGGAGCCTTTGAGAAGGTTTACAATACCAAGGACTTGATCGTGTCGTTTGATGCGATCAACTTCACATTGCCGTATGTTGGGCGCATCCATATCTCGAACAAGCTGACAGCCACTCTAGTCGCTCAGACCTGGCACCAAACAAGCCGTGGCCTCACCAAGACCAAGACCCATTGAAACCTGGATTTCGATGTCTGCAAGGCTTGGTGAATCTGCTTCCCAATGGGCCAGAAGACGGCGGATTGATCGTGTGTCCGGGCGGACACCTGCTGTCCGACGAGTTCCATAAAGACATGGCGGACGAGGAACGCATCCCAGCGTGGACACCAGAGTGGTATGGCTTCACTGAGAACGGCATGAAGTGGCTCGAGAAGAAAGGCCTGAAGTGGGTGAAGGTGTGTGCAGAGCCCGGCGATCTGCTGGTGTGGGACTCCCGCACCCCTCACTACAACCTGAGCTCCAAGACGAGGCAGCCTCGTTTTGCAATCTACACATGTTACATGCCTGTGGAAGATGCCACTCAAGAGGACTTGCGCAGGAAGAAGGATGCGTACGAGCGCTGGGTGGGAACGACCCACTGGCCAAACGCGAGGCACACAGGCTCAAACGTTGCGAAAAGAGACGGAGTGGACGACCCGCACAATCGATTCGAGCCGGTGAACAAGCCGGTCATGGATGAGAGGACATTCAGGCTGACTGGTATCCCGTATATCAAGGCGGAGGCCTAAGTGTGAGGATGGCTTGATGCGCTTGATGTTGGAGCGCGTCCAAGGGGTGGGTGATGGATGGGTAGCATCCAACGCGCCTGATCTGGTACGCGTGCCTAGCGTGACGCGTTAGTCCAGATTAGGTCGCTTTCTCTCGCTAGCTGAAATGAAAATCTATGACATCAACGAAGCTTACCCAACGTGCCCGTCTGACACCCATCTATCACTGCATGGCTCAACAACCAGATAAAGGCGCTGAAGAGGATCACCAGATTCTATCCAGCGTTCTGATTATAGTGCGCTGCTGTCCAAATGACTCGACTGGATGCCGACAATGCCTATGACGCGTTAACGCACCCATCACCAACGAAGACCTAGCCAACACCGACACTGACATTGCTATGCGAGGCCATGGTACCCATTCATACGACCGTAACGTACCGGCTTTCTCAGGCCGCCGTTGAAGGGCCCTCCCACGGACATACAGCACATTGAAGCTAATGCTACGTTGTTGACATGACTGCCCGTGTATGTTGCTAGCCCACCTCTGCCACAAGCGTCACTGATCAGGCGAAGCAGTCACATAACATGATACGATACGGCTCGAAAGCCAATCAAGGGGTTTACGAGCGATATCCACATTCAAACATATCTGAATTAGACTAGGACGCACGCGCTTCCCCAGCCACGCCAAAACAGCAACACAGCAGTCTCGCTGCAACGCCAATACAACACAGCTGCACTCATCTGTCTGGTATCTCCTTAGATCTTCCGCCGACGTGACACGAGCATACGACAGACTGTCTTCTCAGTGCGACATCGAAGGGTGGCCTGACACCTTCTTCATCGCCCACTTGCCGGTATAGGCCCTGATCTTCTTACCATACAGGAAGACGGGTATGCCAAAAAGACCGAAGAGTGCCGTTAGTCCGGCGTACGTTCCGAACGTTCCGTCGTAGCCATCGGTCTCGATGAACCTGGCGACACCATAGCTGGTGCCGAAAGACACGAAGCCTCGAAGAGCCGTGATGACGACAAGAATAGGGCCAGCGCGTGCTGGATCTAAATGTAAATATGTAAAGTCAGTGTATGTCTCACATGCCGTTCATCCGGAAACACTTACAGGAGTCAAGAAGGTACGTGATTGCAGCGATGTTGGCGCCAACGAACGCGAAGTAATACGCTGCATTGGCGAAGACGAAGACGAACCAGTGGTAATCTCCTGGGTTTTCCGCTGCCAGGCCGTACAACGTGGCGGCAAGGCACCCACATAGCAGGGGAATCCAGAGCAGCAACAGGCGATTCTCAGGTTCGTGAACTCCACCATTGCGTCTTGCTCGCCACTTGATTATGACATCGCTGCCGTTACCAAGGAGTGGGAGTGCCACAAAGGCGACAACGATCTGCCCAGCGTTGACGTATGATACGGAACTGTCCGACCAGTTGTACGGAGGCGCGTGTACTATTGTGCCGTACGTTGTTCCAATGGCGATGTTGACGCCAATAGTAAGACCGTTTAGGCAGAAGGCCCAAAGCACATTGGGGAACAACATGACCTGGAAGGTGTTGACGAAGCCGTAGAAACCTTCCATCCATTCCGGTTTGTTGACGAAGATGCGCATATCTGACCAGACTGTGCGGGGAAGAAATTTTGTGTTATCCAGAGGCGGTCTTTCGGAGAGCTTAGCCGGCTGTGGTGCAGTCGCCCTACATCCTTCTAGCTCACCTCCCTCTTCGGCTGAGAATTGACCATACGCGGTCAGAGGGCGATCGTACTTTGACTCGGGAACCCAGAAGATGGAAGCAATGAACGTGGCTGCGCAAAGACCGGCGCCTAGGTAATACCAGTTGGATGGGCCAACCGCTCCAGCGATTGGTGATGCGCAGATGATGTACACGGCTGACAGAACTGTCTGCGTGGCAGATTGCCACATCAGGAAAGTACTACGCTCGTGAACGAAGTGGATTTCCTACACCCTAATTAGAGAACATTTCTCGCGCCTTTGTCTTGCTATCGTTACCTGGATCATCATGGGGACCAGTGCCTCGCTCTGACCTGCAGCAAACCCGAGGAGCATCCTAGCGCCAAGGTGCTCGTTGTAGTCTTTGGCATTTGCGGCCCAGACGGCTGATGCTATCAAGAGCAACAGCGACAGAAGGTAGACAGGGCGCCTTCCGATCGCAAGAGCGAGTGGCATGCAAACTAAGTTGCCTACGCCCATGAACATTGAAGGGTACGTCATCAGCGCGGTTATGTCGGCTGCACACCCGGTCAGCGCAGTCAGAGCATGTGAGGAGCTGAGATCACTGACCATATGTAGCTCCAGCTGCGGCATAGATAGGGATATACCAGGTAAGAAGACCTCCAAATCCGGACACGAGTGCGAGACCCAGACTGGAAAAGATCGAGACCAACACGATGAAGAGAATCTTGCGAAACGTCGATAGATTCAACGGGTCTATCGAGAAGACTCAGTACGTGAGGCCGCGAGCTACGTGCTACAGAGTACACAAACCTTGAGGATCAGCGCTAGGGGCTGGAATCAAGAAGATCTCGTCGAGGTCGGTGATGGTCACAGTTCCCATCGCCGCAGGCTCCTGGATGGGCTTCACGATGCCTGTCTCAGCATTTGAAACAACCTCATATCGTTCGACTTCGGTCTTCACGGTCTTCGGGGTTTTGATGTCGTCGAGCATCTTTGCGAGGTAAACGATGTTCTCGCGCTATAGCGAGATGAAGGTGAAGTCAACGGAAATATAAACCCGCTCGTCCAAAACGGAAGAGCACAAACGACTGTTAAGTTCGATGAGAGTGTACTATGCGCGCAGAGCGGTGGTTATATCTAAGTATGCGCTTCGGCTCCTCTTCTTCAACGTTCACCTATTGGTACGTGGCACTTCTTCTTGTCGTCTAGCCCGCGTCCAGACTCGTGCCACGGCCGACGATTTCGTTGGCGTTTCCAAGCCTTGGTCTGGAAATCAATGCCATATTCACATCCCGGCTGAGCAGAACTCCACTTCACGAGCATTACGCGGCAGTGTCGCACGAATGTCTATCTGGGGTTTCTGGCATGACTGTGGGGTAGGTAATCCGGGGTAGCGCGTGCGTCGGAGAGTGGGCTAGCTCGCGGAAGGAGGGCCATGTTCAACCAATCAGTATCGTGCAATTCGCAACCATTCTTGGCTTCAGCTCCTGCGCGGCGCAACTGCCGAGCTTCTTTACGAGTGTTTGCAGTTGTCTCAGGGAGCCTTTGCAATGTCACAAGCGGAGAACATACCCTGCAGACGATGCGCGGCAGTCCTATCGCTATGCCAATGCACGGTCGAAGTCACTACTATCATTTCATCGTACGGTTCTGCGTCCACGGACGCGAACTTTGCATGCGCAGAGTGTGTCACAGCAAGCATATTCACGAACAAACACCGAGTGACGTAACTTAGATGAAGTTGTGCGATATATTGGGCTC